GAGCCGTTGTTCACAGACGAGCTGCGCAAAACCACGTTCATATTCGCGCGATTTTTTGCGCAGCTCGTCTGTGAACAACGGCTCTGTGTAGTTAATGCTGCTCAATGTGAAAGCACGCACGTGATGGAGATTTACCGCTGATTACAGAATGGCTTTACTGACAAGATGCGCGTTAAATATCGCATGCGATTTATCGTGCAGCCCTAATGTGTGATGAATGTCTCAGGGAGGGAGATATGGGTTGGCTTGTGTGCAAGGTCAAGTCAGTCAAAAAACTAGAAAACTGGTAAGCTAGAACAGTGGCTTTCAATTAGTTTTGAGTCAAGGTCCAGATGTTACATTGGATGTGGCGACCCAACACTACAAAAAATTTTATCACACAAAAACATACAAAAATATTCATGAAAGCAAACACTGAAATTAAATTAACAATAATAATAATATAAAAAACATCCTTTGACAACAAAAGATCTAGGAAGCATTTTCTTCTCCCTTTATTTTTTCCCCCCATTATATGGGAATTGTTTTTTTCCTTCTGTCTCTGCTTTCAGAACTGACCTGTAACCGACCCTTTAAATTGAGAACCACTGAACTAGATCACTTGTTTATGTAATACAAGCAAAATGCAAATATAGACTGATTCAGATTACATGCTGGTAGAGAAACAAGAAGTAAAATTGAGGGTCTTGGGTATAGGGAACAAAATAATTACTAACCATGCAGGATAGTGATATGTTACCAGACAAAAAAAGATCAGATTTCATCTGGATTTAAAAATCATGCAAAAGCTTGCAGAAATCTATATTGGGTGTGAAATGTTTCTGTATTAATGGTGTGAGAGAGTCTGTCTCTGATGTGAAAATAAGGCCACAGAGAGGTTAATTTGAGGCGGTTTCATTTGCATCATTACGCAACACGTCCTTCTATTTCCTCAAGGGAAACCTCACTCGTATCGGTCACGGTATCAGACGCTGTGAACTTAAGATCCAGCCAATCACATCCTGTACGATCGAACGCACAGGGCTTGATCAGCTAGCCGCTCGCTGACTGATGCCGCACACATAACCACATAAACAAAGCCTAAATGGATCAATGCTTCTAACCAGAGAGCATCAGATTCAATAAAAGTCACATAAAATTACTCTTTTCCTGAAACACTGCACAGAACACGCAGACTGAGAATTGCTTCTAACACTGAGCTTTTCATCAATGGCCTGCACTTGAATAGGACAAGAAAAATGATCCTTGGCTTGGCTGGAAACAAGAGCACTCTTATCTCCAGCCACTAGAGTTTAAAAATATGTAGCCATGTTTAAGAGGCCTGCAGTCAAGCCTTGATGCCAGGTTTATCTGACTAACGCTGTTTAATAGGACTCAGCAACCAAAATGCAAAGCACAATGGCTTGCCATCACTGGGTTGGGATTATAAAAAAACAAGGAAACACATGCTTGCATCTAATTAACAATAAATATTATAGCATATCATGATTTAGGCTACAAATGACAGGTTAAATACAAGGTTATTGTGGTGAACTAAAACTAAAACCACTATTAAAAAAGTTTAATTAAAATAAAGCTGAGATCAAATCAAATATAAACATTAGATGAAAACCTTAAAGAAAATGGGAAATGTTGCCTTAGCATAAAATAAAATAAAAAGTTGAAGCACTAAAATTACAAACTAGAAACAAATGAAACTGAACTTAACCTAAAACTGAAATAAAAATAAACCTAAATAGTAATATTTAAAAATGACAAAAACACATAAGAAGACTAAAAATGAAACTAAAATTAAAATTAAAATATAAAAATGGTAAAAAGGTAGCCTGGTTTTAAATAGTAATTATTATTTTTTTTAATTATGGTATACAAAAATAACACTGGAAATATACAGGTATTTAGATCATAAGCAAACTAGAATGGGGAAAATTTACTTTTTATTTTACCAGATAATAATAATAATAATTAATAATTATTAATCATTTATTTTTCACACCCTGAAAGATATTTTTTTCTACAATGGCTTGTAGATACCTCTAAGTATAAATCAAGCACTGATCCAGTCAAAGTCTTTTTTCACAACACAAAGCAATTATTCACAACACATTGAAATACTGTGTGAGTCAGGTGGCATACCTGCAAATGCAGTCCCAGACAGTAAGCAGAAATAGAAAGCTTAAGAAACTGAGAAGAAACTAGACTCCACGTAGCTGCAGGTAATAACATGGATTTCTCTATTGAAAACATTTCACTTCTGCTCCACTGCTTCAGACTTTTTATTTTACTTGTCTTAAAATAGCACCTGTCAAAATACCATCTTATCAAAAGACAATTCACAGGATCCATCAGAAACCTTTGCTACAGTCACTGGTCCAATTTTTAGCCTCCATAACAAATGCATATTTTTATTAGCAATAATTTAATAACCCAAAATGCATCAGCATCTCTGGCTGCTTGATGAAATAAAATAAGCACAGTCTTATTTGACACAGTGGATGTGGGCATTATTTGGAAATTAGGCATTATAGGCACACACTACGAAAATGCTGTCTAGCTCACTAGGTTTTGAGCCATATTCTCAAAGCTCTAATCATTCATACTTTCTTCACACCAGCACTCTGATCAGTTTACTCTTGCCAAATGAAACCTCCCCCTCCACCTTCTTATTGTAAACAACACTATGCAATCATATGGCACACTTTCACGCGGAAAGAAAGGCGGAAAATGTTGGAAGTCTCGTTCATTCCGTCGCTAACTGCATTTATGTAACAGCTCGCGCATATATTTAACGTATACAGGTATCTGCCTGCAGCGTAATGAATATCAATAATGTTACTTTTTTTATTGGCATGTTCATTCGCGCTTCGTACGTAAGAAAATTGCATTATGGACATGTCAACACCTATGTTCTAACTGTTAACGTCAAGTCCCCTGATAAAGTGTTGTCAGATGATACTTACCTTGGATGTTCCAGCTGGAGCTTCGTCTTCCCACAGCGCGTGAGAGATGTACAAGCTGCTCTGAACTAGTCTGAGTGTGCGCATGCGCTACATTATCAGTAGCGGATGGGGGAATCCAGTGACGTAGCTCAGATGACACGTGACTGCACACTGCGTATTTTTTACTGATCACTTTTAATGTTGTCAGCTGTAAACACCTTCGCATTCGTTTTTATTTGTATTATTGGGCTGCTCTGAACTAGTCTGAGTGTGCGCATGCGCTACATTATCAGTAGCGGATGGGGAATCCAGTGACGTAGCTCAGATGACACGTGACTGCACACTGCGTATTTTTTACTGATCACTTTTAATGTTGTCAGCTGTAAACACCTTCGCATTCGTTTTTATTTGTATTATTGCATCAAACTTTTAAATAACACAAATGGCGATATGGGATATGTAAATACATTTTATCAATCAAATGTTTTTATATTTCAATATCTAGCCTATAAAAAAAACACACACACACACACACACACATATATATATATATATGTGTGTGTGTGTGTATATATATATATATATATGTATAACAACAAAAATTCAATAAAGTTTATAAAGCATAAATATAATAAATATTAATATAGGCCTATTCTTTATTTATTATTAATGTTATGTTTTAAAAATACATGTATTATAGATATTTACATTAATAATGCATACAAATTATGTATATTATAAAAAATCTGAAACTCAGTCTGTACTGAAATACAAAATCATTTGATTGGTAAGATTTATTATTTATTTACTACAAAATGATGTATTATTTATTGGTAATACTTACTATTTGATATGTAAATAGTAATATAAATGTTACTTTCTAGTAAAGCAATCAAATTATTTTTGTTACTATATTTCGCTATAAAATACAAACAAATAACGATCAGATTTTGGCTAGATTTGAGAAAAATAGAAAAGTGTGCAGAAGTCTTGTAAATCAAGTTGCAAAAGGTTTCATGGGAACAATTTCACCGCATGGAGACATAAAATAATTATTTACACACAGATGAGCAAATTAGATTTTATTTATAGTAGAAGCATTGTGTTTGTTGGTGAAATAACTAATTAGGCTTTGTGGAGTGCTGCAAGCTTTTTAGGTAATTCTTCAGTGAAAAAGAGCAGCTTGTCCATCTTTAGATCCTGTCCCTCAGTTTGCTGCAATCCCAGGTTCATGTATTTATTAGTCTTGTCGTACACAGGCCAGTGCACCAGACTGGGACCATTTGGTGATCTGTGGAAATGAAATAATTATTTAAGGAATAAAGGATCATCATTAACTAATGCTCTGTCCAGCAACTGGTGTACCACTTACCCAGTGCGAATAAAGTTCGCCCAGTATCCCATGACGGTTCTGCATAGTTGGTTTTCCTCCTCAGTGAGCGCTTCTGTAGATGATAAAGAGTTTATATCCATAACCACATCACCACTTCATTATTAACATTTTCACTTTTGTTTCAATCATTTGCAGTTTCAAAACCCAGCCATAGTAAATTGTCTAGTATAAATGTCCAGTATCATAATAATTTGCCAGGACAAACAAGTTCTTAGATCTGCATACCCACTTTGATATGGCCATCCCAAAAGCATGCCCCAAACATAAATCCAAGATCATCACCATGGTCAGCTTTCACAAAGCTGGGTCTGAGATCTTTAAATATACTTGGCCGCTGCTGGAACTCATACATATACACAGGCACTCCAGCATCTGTGAAGTTAGGATAATGGAAAATAATAGAGCAAACCAACAAGAAAACATCACTTGTGAAATATTGCCAATGAAATTGCAACCTACCTCTGTGGTAAGATGCAACCGTAATGGAGGGAATCACCATAAAAAGATCCCCCAGCATCTCAGTAAATGCATCACGAATGTCCTCTGGAGTTTTAGCATTTTTTAGGTATTCTTCTGCTATGATTTCATTGACTCCTGACATCTACGATGACAGAATGAAGGATTACACACATTCTACCGAGTCTCCTAAATGCTATTTTGTACTTTGTTCACTAGAGGGAGACAAATACTAACAAATTAGTCAGACTGCGTTAATTCAAGTAAATTCATTTGCATTTTATCTCTGTTTTAGCTTCTAAATCACTACAAATGATCTGGAAAGAAAGAAGAGAAGTTGAGTTTTACTCCATCTTTGTTAAAAATGTCCAACAATTGTTTCACTGTTTTTGTGTCCATCCCTTTTACCCAGTCTTCTGAGACTAAGGCCTGAAATAAAAAGATGAGCACATGCATTACTATTTAAAAATAGTCATAAAGGTTCATAGACCTTTTGTTTAATTTTACCATTCCATACAAAAATGTCCGAAATGTCCGATACTTGCCTGAGGGAGCATCCATCCAAATTCATGGTTTGTTGTTCCAACAAGAATTGGAACTTTATGAAAATCTTTGCTCTTTAGTAACTCCTCTGGTTGAGCTTTAAGAAATTCCCCATCAACTGTTGCTCCAGGGAAAATGTGTTTCTAAGGAAGTCATTTGGTCTAAGAAATTGTTTCATTCTCTTTTCAAGATGTATATTTATAGAGAATATCACCAGTAGATCTTAGAATTGCATTTTTTTTTCATGAGCTATATTGAAAAGCATCTCCTTTCAAATGATCTGCTCCTACCCTTTTAGCTGCATCGATGATTTGTTCCTCAGTCAGTTCTTTTATGCATTTGGTCAGCACTTCATTAGAGCTGAAGTCACATTCAGTAACATTTGCTACCACCTGGTCAAACAGATCACAGACAATCACCTTTTCTAAACACTGACAATAATTATAAATTATTATTGTCAATATGCATTTTCAAATTAGGCTGAGCTGAAGTGCTTTTTTTGTAAAGCTTTTAAATTCTGATTTAACTTTTTGGGTGGACATTAAAGGGGTCATGAACTGAGAAACCAAAATTCCCTTGATCTTTTCACAAATAGAAGGTCATTGTACTATAAAAACATCCTATAAGTTTCAGAACTCAAAACGTTCTCATTAGTCTAAAAAACAGCTTATACTGAAGGGAGTCTGCCAAAACAACAACTTTTGGAACGTTCTACTCTATGATGTAATAAGCACCGTCTATCTATGCAGAAGAAGATCAACGCCTGCTTTTACGTCCCTGCCTGTTTAGCCCCGCCCACCGATTCACGCATGTAGTGTTTACGAGAGAGGCGGACGTGCAGGTCTAGCAGAAATAAAACGATAAAAGATGGCTCAGAAGACAACAAGATTCTGTGCAGTGCCAAGTTGTGGAAAGAAATATTCTTTGCATTGCTTTCCTTCTGATCCCAACATTAGGAAAGAGTGGATGAACTTTATTTTTAATGAAGTTCCAGACCGCTTCAGTAAGATTAAGAACTTGGTCCATTGTTCACTTCATTTTACTGCGATTCATTTACAAACAATTTGACATGGGATTTTCAGAAAGATTGAAACTAAAAGACGATGCTGTGCCGACTATATTGGATCCTACAGTAATGTTGCACCACACAAGTGTGAGTAACTGTTTTTGTTACGTGATCACTATTGCTTTGTCTGATAAACAAATCGTTTGATATGAGTATTTGTGCATTTTTAACCTAAATCACAGCAGCGTCCAGCTGTGAAGGACGTAGGCTGTCAAACATAGGCTACTCAAGTGTTAGCCAATCATCATGGCAGTGGGCGTTTACTTCCAAGTCTACAATCAGCTATGCCAGGGATCCTCAAATCTGGCCCACGAGATCCACTTTCCTGCAGAGTTTAGCTCTAACCCTAATCAAACACACCTGAGCATACTAATCAGTGTCTTCAGGATCATTAGAAAATCACAGGTAGGCGAGTTTGATCAGGGTTGGAGCTAAAATCTGCAGCGCATTGGACCTCCAGGGCAAGATTTGAGGAACCCTGAGCTATGCCTATTCAAAGAGAGCGTTCTGATGAGGGGGGTCAAAAACAGGACAGAAAATAGCCTATTGCTTTTAAATTATGATGTTTTTTGATGTAAAAATTCTTGATAACATTGGACCTCAGAGAACAGCACAAAATAAAAAACAGAGGCAGTTCATGGCCCATTTAAATTAGACAGTTAAGGGTTTATGTATTAGCCTATATGTTTTTGTGCTTTTTTAATGTATTGTTTATGTGTCTAAATGCTGAAACCAAATTGCCTTCAGGAAATGAAATAAAGACAAACTGAAGTGAACTGAACTAAACTTAACAAGGCTCTAAAATTCTTGGCATCTGACATAATGCTACAGATTCCCTATAATGAACTATTGAGCAGTACACATTTATTGTTGTATTTGGGCTAAATACCTTGGCAAGCATCTGAGGGTCTTTGACAGAGTAGCCCATCACAGTCGCTACTCCGCTCTGAAAGACGCCCCGCTGAAACAGACCCTTGGTCTTGGGTGACAATGTCTAGAAGACCATAAGTATACATCTTTAGAACACACTTGATCCTTGCACTGAATTGTACAGAGAATCTATTAATGGATAAGATCTTATGTTGTTTTAACAACTTGTCTTTCAGCTATTCACTTATTATCATATTTCCAGGGGAAGCCTGAAGGGACCACAAGGAACTTACTCGGAACTTATTATGGTTTTTAAAGACTCATCAGAAATCACAAGATTACTCGTTATTAATCATATCAGGCACATAAATAATTAATATGCAACAATAGAGAAAAATAATAAAGATAATGCTGCTTTTAAAAACATTTACTGACCAGAAAAGAGGCACTGATTCCTCCTGCAGACTCCCCAGCTATAGTGACAGACTGGGGGTCTCCTCCAAAACCATCAATGTTTTGCTGCACCCACTGTAAAGCAGCAATCTGGTCTAGGAAACCCCAGTTACCTTGAGCATTCTTATCTCCTGTGCTAAACCCAGAAGCATGTTTTATTATAACCCATTGCAGAAGCAGCTTACAAGAAATCTGATGTCATTCTCAAGGGACAGACTGCATGAGTAGTGCCCACTTTCTCCACCATAAATGAATACCTGAAGTATCCTAATATTCCAAGTCGGTACTGAATGACAACCACAACAATGTTCTCAT